CAAAACTAACATAACTCTTTGAATACAATTTTAAGTGTGACTTGAATAAATGTATAAAATTAATTTAAACAGCCAGTAACAAAGAGTTTCTGATTAATGGAAATGAATAGGGGAAAAAAGCTCTGTCCTAATCTTGGACAAGCACTGACTCATCAAACAAATTTTCTACTGTGTCAGAGWCTGCAAYAATAATTTTTAAAAAATAAAAATCACAGTTAGCTGCACAAACAAAAGATCTGAAAAAAAAATCTGGTTGACTCCGACAGAAGCTTGTTGAGATAATCTATAGCTTTGTGTGCTCTTTTCTTTCCTTAATATTTGTTTAAAAAAAATCTACCTTTTTCCACAATTTAAGATCTTATAATTTAGAAAATTTTCACCCAGGATAAKTTGATAATTCCAAATGTTATTTCACAAGCATTTTTCAAAAAAAGTGGCCATCAAAGCTGACCACTACACAAAGAAATCAGTGTCACTCAGCCAGACTGCTTCTGGCAGGGGAAAAAAATAGATTAATTCAAAAAGTTCCAGCTGTCCCAGAACCCCGGAAAGGAATGGCTTTTTACTGTAACCCAAACAGTTTTCAGCAAAGCCATTTTCAGTTTTGTCRGTAAATTGGTTTGGGTTTTCTACCCCATCCCGAGTGTCTGTGAGCTGGCCTTGGCGGTGAGGAGGGGCTGCCTCCACGGGGATGGGCTCCTGCTGCTGCCGTGCTGAGGCAGCRGCCCCGGGCTGAAGCTTTTCTTCGTGTGCTGGGTAATCAGGAGCACATTTAAAAATACCAGTCTGTAATTCCAGTGAGAGAATGAAAATTATCCTGTATATGGGTGGTTGTGGGGTCAGCGCCTCCTTTATTAATCATATATTTATATCAGTTATAAAAACCATGTTAGAGGACACATACAGTCACCTCAGTCTTTCTCCTGCAAATGCCACATACAGGGGACTCTCACTGATGCTGCTGCTGCAGGAGAAATAACTTTAAATATATAAAAAGTGCACTGTAGATGGGCTAATGCAGCTCAAGAAGAGCTGCATGTGGTACTCGTGCAGAAACTGGAGCATGAGTGTACTGCAGGGATCAAATGTGCTGGCCCGTGCCCAGGACAAAACACAACGGCAGGCTCAGGTGGAAGGCTSCAGCAAAGACCCTTCAGCCTCTTCCTAGGCCATCCCTCAGCAGAGATAAACCAACTAATCCTCATTTGGATGACTCATGTGCTCAGCTAATTGGCTAAATGGGGCCCAGACCTCTGGTTCCCTCCTGCCCTCATAGTTTGCTGAGCTGGGACCAAACCCAGACAACCACAGCCCATCCCGCTGGGCTTTGTCTCTTCCAGCTCCACGCAGATGTTTGATACTCCAGTTGCTCATGCAAAGGTAATGCTTTCCCCCACTCAGGTTTTGCCTTCAGGAGCTCAGCACATCTGCAGCCAACCCAAAGGAATGATAGTTCTCAATCCCTGGCAGGGTTGTGGGTGAGAGATGAGCACACCCCCTGTGATGTCCCTGTACCTTCAGCTGCAGGCATCACACAGGCTTTGCCCCTCCAGACCAAAGCCACTCTGCCATGCTCTGCATTTCCTAGATACAGGCAAACAGCAGAAAAACATTTCTCCCTGACTCCYGTTTCATGTTTGGGATTTGCTTTATTTTGAGAGCGAGGGAAGAGGGAAATGACTTTCAAGGCATCTTAATGCAATTTTATTCCTGCTCCCAAATAAGTATAATACAAAAAATTAAATCAGCCTTCAATGTGATATGGATGGCCCCAGGATACGGCTGAGGTGATGTCAGTCTACAAAACATAACATTATGTGTCATTGTTTCATGTCATTACTTATTGATTTAATTCCATCATATTTCAGACAACTTTTATTGTCTAGGTACAAATCATCATATTAATAACTGGAAGAACATATGCAGATATCAAAAACACCTTCTGCCACTAAACCAATTTTAAAAATGAGTCCAAGAGAAATATTTTAAGAGAAAACTCCTCCAGAAGAAATTTTTCCAGGAACGGAAAGACCAGACAACTGTTTTTCTGGTTTCGATGTAACATATATTCTCATTTCATATCAAGATTTTTTTTTTTCTTTTGGGTTTTTATTTTGTTGTTGTTGTTGCTGCTGTTGTTTTAACAGGAAAGATTGATAAGTAAAGGAGGAAGTCACCAGTTTTGAGAGAAAGGTATAGCTAAATATTCTATCTAAACATATTATCTCGAATGTGCATTATCATATGTTCAACTTTGCTGGGGAACATTTTGGATTATGAACAGAATAACGTGGATTTTATAAAATGGCTGTCTTAGAATTACATTTTACAATATTGATGTGTCATAATAATAAAATAGAAAACARTTTTAATATCAACAGTGAGTCCTACCATCCTTTTTATTATTATTACTATTATTTTGTGGTTGGTGWTTTTTCCTATGCAGAATCCCTGAAAACAAAAAAATACACTGCAACTAACTGTAAGCCATTAGAGATTCGTACACAGCGATGCCTCCTGAAAGAGTTTATCTTTGTAGACAAAGTTGGGTGTGTGTTAAATAATTAACTTAACCAGCATCTGAAAATCTGTCTGTAGTATGAAACAGAATTCAAACAAAAGACTTCCCTGAAATTTATGTTGGAAAAAAATACAGCGTATTTTATTTTAGTATTTTTCTGGCAGTAATCAATCTCTTTAAAAGATATCTCCAAAAATCCATGTTCTCCAAGTTTCATATTTCCCTGTGTTTTATCTTTTTTTTTTTTTTTTTTTTTTTTTTCTTTTTTTTTTTAATATATTTTTTTTTTTTTTTTTTTTTTTTTCTTTTTTTTTTTTTTTTTTTTTTTTTTTTTTTCTTTTTTGGCTTCTTGTCTCTCCATTGCTGCAGATGTTCCTCCGTGTTTTCGTACACATTGGACGGCAGAATGGCAAAATCCTGCAGCAGCATAAATTCTCAGCCCAGTCCTACAAYAGCAGATTTTGGATAAAGCAGGCTGTTCATACACTGCCTGAACAAAGTGCCCAACAACGCTGCACCCAGAGGACCCCACCTCCTGGAGCACATCAAACACCAGCTATCAAAGGCTCAGGGTATTTTTTACAGATGTCCTACAGGCAGCCTGGACCCCAGGGCCACCTCGGGGAGTCCCTGCCAYTGCTCATGGCTGCCTGCACTTTTCAGTCGTATCCTCCAACATCCTTTACTCAGAAATCCCCGGTGCTGGAAGGAAACACCAGGCTGGAGCCAACCGTGGGGCTGGGACTCTCCCCCAAGAAGGCTGATGAGAGTTTCCCCACTGGTTTGGTTTTCCTCTGACAAAGGTTTGCCGAGCTGGGGATGATGTCCTGCAGAATGCTGAGTGTGAATGGAAAACAATGTCCCCAGAATAATCCCCTGCGAGATTGTCYCTAAAATGTACTCTCRCATGTTCGATTTCAGACACAAATAYCTGTAGACCTTCCTCAGCCCAGGTGAGACCTCACTCCAAGGTTTTACTCAAGAAATTATTCCACATGAGTTTAGGCTAAGCCCCTGCACAGTCCCAGGCACCCCCAGCAAGCCCCCCAGAAAGGCTTCAATTAAAGCTGCATGCACTGCTGGATTGAAACCTGAAAATGTTTATAGACCAGGGATTAAAACACAGCATATTGCATCTGGAGTTTCCAAAGCCAAGTGGATCTAAGCAAAGGCAAATGGAAATGCTAACTCTATTTTATTTTATTTTTTTAAACAGCACAGGCTTCAGCAGTAGTTGARATATGCTGTCTCCTCTCAGGGAACTAATAGACAGGGAACAGCAAGGCTTTAAATGATTTATTCAGTACCCTGGAGATTTTTTATTTCCTTTTTCGTTTGCACATAAATTACACAAGCACTTTATAAAATGAATACACATAAAACACCTTGTAAGTGCATAACTTAAAAAAAAACCAAACAAACAAAAACAAACAAAAGCAAACAAATGAATGCCTTTTAAATTCTCACTGAAAATAGGTTTTTCTGGCTGCTTGTTTGTAATAACTGCTTAAACTGGCAGTGCTATTTTGGATTATAAGTAACTGAAAAATATATACTGTGTATATATATATATATATMTATATATTCCTGGCATTTGYTAGAAGTGCTTTGTTTAATTGTGTCTCATTCTCTTGATACAATTAAAAGAACAACTAAGTTAAACGGCTGAGAGTGAAATCGATTTTTTGCTGTCAGGAACTGCCTTCTAACRGGAAACTGATAAAATAAAACATTGGACAACATTTTGCAAATTATATGGAAATATTCCATGGAAGGAAACTGCATTACCCCCACAAACTGCCACCCAGGTCTTCTCGTTATTAAAATACACGCTGATGGGCACAGAGTCCGTGGCAGCCAGGGACTGTTTGGGCTCTTCACACAATTGAGATATCATATTTACCGTCCTCAGGAGTCTGTCAGATCCTTCTCTTGTTCCCCCCTCGCAAGAAAAAATTAATGAAAAAGGGGAGGAGAGACGGCGAGGTGAGATCTGAAGGGTTCCCATCTGGCACAAGCAGAAATTGCTGCTGTTTCCTCCATTTGTTGCATCCCCGAACGTCTCCGGTGCGGACAACCCGGGAAGGCTCACAGCAGAGCCGTGCTTCCCGGGGAGCCTCCTTCTTTTCTTTCAAGCCATCAGTTTAAAACATATATATATATATGAATATATATATATATGGATATGTAAGGGTGAGGACAGACTTTGCACTGACTCCGGTAGGATCCTAAGGAAGTTTTCCTCTCCCCCAGCTGGATGAGCGCCGGCGGCTGTGTCTGTCAGGGCTGGGCTTTTGTCTGGCAGCACGTCAGCAAGTTCAGGGTTGACACTGGAGACTTTCAAGAGAACAAAGGGGTTGAGGGGGGGAGGTGAGACAGCATTTCTGCTCCAGCCACTCCATGGCTRGGGAGAGTTTTTGGGGTGGCTTCCCTTCTTTTCGGTCCTTTTGGAGGGTTTCCCCAGCTGGACTTTGTTGGATGCGCATGTGGCCAGAGGATCAGGGGGTTCCAGCCCTCCTTGGGGAGAAACAGAGTTGCTACATGTCCCACCAAGGATGCCACACGTTCCCCTGGGGACAGCCCAGCCGATAGAAGGTGTGCGTGCCACCAGTGGGTGCCAGACTTATTCACAGGCAGAGGCGACAGTGGTGACACTGGTGATCTTGGTGGAGTCATCAGACCAAGGCTGGAGATTCTGGAGGGCAAAGAGAGAGGAGTTGTGGACACAGATGGGGTCGGCTTGGATGGGCTGGTTGATGGTTTTCTGGAAGGCTTCCTGCTGTAGCTGCATGAGGATGCGGTTTGCTTGCTGCCGCTCGGCCTCCCGCTCCTCCGCTGTCTGCCTCCTAGGAGAGAGGAGCTGTTAGGGGGAGCACAGGAAGGGTGTCTCCAGAGAGATTAATTTGTGCTGGGTGCTCATGATGTAGGGCAGGGGTAGGAAAAGAGGGTGTCTTGCCATGGCGTGGTCCCACGTCCCCTGCACAAATGGTCAGCAATTCCCATAAACTGGGGACTGGGTCAGCAAAAATTACTGTGATCAAAGAGGGCTGGGAGCAGCCCACAACTCTGGATTATTTTCTGCCCATGGAAAAAAAAAGCCCAGCAGAGACAAAACACCCAAAGTGTCACACAACAACATTGCAAAAGTTTTGATCTCCTGAAAACCTTGCTCTGGGTCTGACACCAAGAGCCAAGCATGAAGAGTCCCAGTGAGAAGCATGGAGCGGGATGAGGTGAGACCGTGACTGGCAGTGCCACACAGCTGGGAGATGGGCAATGTCATCCTGGATATCCCCTTCCAGCATCCAGGTTTGCCATCTCATCTGCCAGGCTGTGGTGGCCAGCTACTGAGAGCTGGATGAAGGCAAAACCATTCCCACGGCAGGCAGCAAAATTTTAGCTAAACACTGGAAAAACCTTTTTTAGCAGTAAGAAATATCAAAGCACSRAGTATACTATCTGGAAAGGGTGAARGAYRAGGTTTTTAAGAACAGTTTGGACGTGTGTCTGCCTGGTGTGACACCAGCAGAGGTGATCCCGCCGAGGAGAGGGTGTTAGGGGATCAGAAGGTCGTGCCAGTGTTGGAAGGGCCCTGGCTCTGGGCTGCTGGGGAGCTGAGAATGGGATAGGTAAAAAAGGCCTGAATGCACTTAAATCCACAGTGAAAATCCACTCCTGCTTTCTTGGATRGTGGGTCAGTCTGAAATCTCCACCTGCAGTCACCTCTGCTTCGCCCAGCACCTCCATGGATGCTGCTGGGAAAACCTGGGAGCAACTCGTAGTGCTGGTCCCAGAATGATTCCCAAAGCACCCCCTCCCTCCCTCACACCCAGACCCAGCTGATGCTCTCTCAGCAGCTTCAGTGGACCAGTGACACAGGAAATGGCAGCTTTTTAATTTGGCAGCTCAGGGGGATGTRAGATGTCTCATTCTCTTTGGCTGTAGGAATTGGAATTGGCAGCTCTGATCTCCACGATGGCATCTCAGAGCACAGGGCAGGGGGTCCCTGGCTCCCAGCAGGGAAGCAGGCCGGTGCTTGGATGGAAGCAATGGGTCTCTGGGCACCCAAGCCTCCAGACATGTGCCCAGCATTCCCTCGGGGGAGCAGGTAGCTCAGGGCTCAGTCCCTGTTCTAATCACTGTGTCAACATCTCACGTCAGACATCCCGGGAAGAAGGGGCTCAGAGCAGCGCCAACATCTCCATGCAGCCGGGAAATATTCTGCCTCAATGAATATTTAATGACTCCCTGCACAACAACGATATGCTCCAGGAGGAGGAAGGGAGCCCCAARTCCCTGGGGGAGCACCATGGCTATGAGCACCTTGCTCCCAGGCATCTCCCTGCTGCTAGCAGCTGGTCTAGCCATGGATTCACGCCAGGTTCRGATTTTCAGGTTCAAATCAGCCTGGGGAGAGCTGTGTCTAAAGCAAGAGCTCAAATCTGAGGRGAGGATCACACAACCACTTACTCCAGCAGACACCCAGGCAAGAGACAGGGGCAAGGCTCTTCCCCCCAGTCTACATTTAAGCAGTTAAATCACTCAGGGGGCTTACTTATAGCAACTCTCTTATCTTGGATAATTCCTCCTGCCTCATTCAGGCTGAGCCTGCACTAGCTCCTACTAGCACCCAGTGCTCCAGGAACCACAMAGAGCCCAGCACCCAGCCCAGGGGCCTGAAGCATCGAGCTGGGTGTGCTGCCAGCCAGRGGCACCCACATCTCCATTGCAACACCCAGCAGGCACAAATGCATACAAGCAGAGTGTCCCTCTGGCTCAGGCCAGAGATTCTCCCGTGTCTAATATTACAGCTGAGGTCTGGCTGCAGCCTTTCCCTTAGGCAGAAGCAGGATTTTGTTTCTCTTTACCCAGCTATTTTTTGTAAAACACATGAATAGGTTTGTATCCTCTGCTCCTCTGCCAAAAGAGGCTGAATTTAGCCAACAGACGCAAAGAGTATTGACAGATGGATTTGCYTCACTTCCTTAGGAAACCTGGTTAGAAGACATAGCTGACCCCGATTTGCAGGCCACAGCAGGACTGTTCCTCCTCCAGGATTCTGCTCCTGGCCAACAGAGATCACTCCAGCTAGAGACTTCCTAACACTTGGGGAATTGCCCTTCCATGGGCTTTCTAGGGAAGAATTCACTGGGGTTGAGGATTCACACACTCCCTTGGTTTCAAATTCCTTGTTCCCCATTTCTTACCCAGCCCCAGCATCCTCAGGCAATCACTGTCCTATTGGGAAAACTCTGGTGAAGACCCTTTCCCCGTTTTGAAGAAGCTGCTGCCTTCCTGCCCTCCAGCACCCAGCGCTCAGCACCCAGCAGCACCGCCCTCCTCTGCTGAGGGAGCTCCCCACTGCCAATTACTTCCCYTGCTGCGGGGTGCCTGTCCCCGGCCCAAGGCAGGGGATGTTCTCMGGGCTGGGGTGCCTCCCTAGGGAACATCCCGGGAAGGTGCAGCTTGGGAGGGGCAGGGTCACAGAGATGGAGCCCTGGAGGCTCCGTGTGAGCCCAGCCTTCCCTTCCTCTCCGGCTTTACCGGCACGCCCGGCAGCAGAACAAAAAGAAAGCGTTTGGGCAAGGAGGCGCCGYGAATCCTGCGGGGACGAAAATCTGCGCGCGGTGCAGAGCCCGGCACTCCGACAGCCCCGATCCGGGSACTCGCACACGCCGCTGCCGGGGACAGAGGGCGGGAGCCTCCKCACCCACTGGTGACACTGACTGCAYCCCCTGCACGCGTGTGCGCACACATACATTCAYCCCCATTCACCTTTTTGCACGCAGGCCCGGCGTGCGCACGCCATGTAATACGCGCACATGGCCCGCACCGCGCTCGCAGGGCTGTGCTTTGCACTCACACTCACACCCTCGCCCACGCTCACACACACTCTGCGTGCGGGCACACCCGGCCAAGCGGGGCCCTCACACTCACACCCTCGCCCACGCTCACACACACTCTGCGTGCGGGCACACCCGGCCACGCGTGGCCCTCACACTGACCGTGAAGTTACACACGCGTGACCAGCTGGGGTACACGCCCGCAAGGTGTGCGCGCACCGCATGCACACACACGCACCCCTGTGCATGCACACACACGCACCCCTGTGCATGCACACACACGCACCCCTGTGCATGCACACGCACGCGTGCACACACATTCACATTCACACATGCACGGACGCGGCTCGCACGCCTCTGCGCAGCCACCAATGCTCCTGGCAGAGCTGCTGGCAGCCAGGTCTGTCCCCCCCGGGGCTGCCCCAGTCCGGTCCACCGAGACCCCCGGTCCCTCACCTCCATTTGGTGCGCCGGTTCTGGAACCAGGTCTTCACCTGGGCGTCCGTCATCTTGAGGGCCTTGGCCAGGGCAGCGCGCTCGGCCGAGGCCAGGTATTTCTGCCGATGGAAGCGCTTCTCCAGCTCGCAAATCTGCAGGCGGGTGAAGGAGGTGCGCGGCTTCTTCTTCTTGGGGGGCGTGCGGTTCTGGTAGGGGTGACCTATACGGCGTGTTACAGTGAAGGGTGAGAGGGCCACTGGGGGGGACACGGGAGGAGGGGGGATGAGAGGTAAAGAAGCAAGCAGCGATACATCAGCAGAGGGGCTCCGGCTCCCGGGCGCTGGGCTGGGGACCCCCACCCCCGTTTTCCAAGCCGCCACTTCCCCGCAAAAACTCGGGCTGCAAAAACTCGGCGGCAGCGGCGGCCCCGGGTGCCGGGAAGACCCGGCCGCATTTCCTGGGTGCTGCGGTCACCCGCCGGGCACCTCTCGGCCACGGAGGAGGGGAAGGCGGCCGCTTGTCCGACCAAGCGCCTGACGGGGAGCGGGGGATCAGCAGCGGCAGTCGGTCCTGGCGCCGGGCCGGGGCTCCGCGCTCCGTGCCGACCGAGCTTGGGATAAATTCGTTTGGGAGCGGCGGCAACCCTATCGGCCCCGGCCCCAGTGCCTCGTACACAGGAAGTAAAGTCCCGGGTTGGAAAACGGAGCTGAGATTCGTTTTGTTTGCGCTTTGTTTTCTTTTGCTTTAAATATATATATATGGTTTTGTATATATGGTTTTGTATATATGATTTTTTTTCCAACCCCACGAAGAAATAATTAGTGAAAAGCCGCATTGAGTCTGAGCCAGGAAGAGACCGCGTGAAATCCAGTCAGGTGCTTGCCACGGGAAAAGCCCGTTCGTCCACGCGGGGCCGTGCCCAAACCCAGAGCCATAGGGTCGAAATTAAACGAGAACTTTCAAAAATCGGGCCTCGGTTTCTGCCMTCGGAAAGAGTGGTCGATTCGGGCGCTGATTTTTCCAGGTTGCAAATTCGTTTTTTGATTTTTTTTTCGGTTTGTTTGTGTCTCTTTTATTTCTTTTTTTTCGTTGTTCGAGTTTTTGCTTTGTTATCGCCGAAAGAGGAGCCCAGCTRCACCTGGAAGCGGCGGCAAGGCCGGGAAGAGGCTCTAGCCCGAGCCTCACTSTGCCCGAGTTTACAAAAAGTCCCTTTCGGTGGGCAAAAAGGCTGAGCCGAAATCCGCAGCCGGGGAAAGCCAGCCCGGTTAAGGAAGGCAACGGGACGGCCTTCTCGGTCAGGCCAGGGCCGGGGCCGCCTGTCTGCCTTCCCTCCTGCCGGGCCGTGCCTCCCAAATAACTTTGGGTTTTGAAGGAAAGTTTCCCCGGGTGTTGGGTCTGGCAGCAGGGACWGGRCAGCCTTGCCCGGGGCTCGCAGGAGGTGGTGTGCGGAGTTTGCCATCCCTTTTCCTGCTTACCCGCCTTTGCCGAGCCCCATAGTGAACAAAAATAAAAGTAATTTAAAAAAAATAAAATTTACACCAAACCAATAAATAAATAATTAAAAAGGAACTAAAACAACAACAACAAAAAACAAACCACATATACAAGTAACCAAACCAACCAAATTATCAAAACAAACAACAAAAGGAAACACAACTTTTTAAGGGGAGCCTGAATACGTCCCATTCTCCACCCCGTCTTGCTTCTGGCCTTCTCCCGAAACGACTTCCCAGGATCATCCSGGCTGTTTTCTCCACCCGGCCGGAGACATTCCCGGCTGGATCCTGCGTGCCTCAGTGGGCACCGGTTGCCGCGCTGAGGCCGGGCGACGGAGGAGGGAGCGGGGCAGCGGGAGCAGGGAGGAAAAGGGGGTCCCGGTGGCGCGACTCACCTGTGAACCTGTCTTTTGTGTATCGCCTGTTGCTCTCCATCCAGGGGAAGGTGAGYCCTGTGAGACTGTTCATGCCGTTCACTGCGGGCACGGCGGCGGAGAGGGGCTGGTGGACGCCGCCGGTGACGGGGCGATGGGCCGGGACGCGGATCACCCCGCCGGCCGAGCTCAAGGTGTTGCCGTTCATGCTCACCGCCATGTTCACGTTGTAGGAGCCGGGCAGGCCGCCCATGCTGCAGGATGTCCCGGTGTAGGCGCCGGCCGCGCCGCCGCTCGCCCCGTAGCCACCCGTGACCGTGTTATAGGCGCTGCCCACGATGCAGCCCAGCCCGTAGTCCGCCGAGTCCTGCAGCCGCGGGTGCGACACCATGCAGCTGCCCGGCTCCGACGTGTTGAGGATCTGGTCGATGCCGAAGCTGATGGGCTCGGCTTGCCCTTGGTGCAGGTGGTGAGCCCCGAGGTGCTCCATGCCGCCGCCCGGGCACCGGGGCCGGACCTCCGCCCCGGGCAGGGCAGCACAGCCCCGCACCGCCCCGAAACCGGCAACGGGGCCGCGCACAGCCGGGACACGCCAGCTACGCGTTCAGTCCCATAGCACGACGGCCGAGCACCCCAAGAAAYGCCAGCAGAGCCACGCAAGGCCGGGACACGGCAGCCAGACGCTCAGCACGAAGACACWCCAGCACAGCCATGCGCAGCCCAGGCACAAGAGTGAAACACCCCCGCAGCCCGGGACACGACAGCCGTGCCCAGAGCGACACAGGACACGGACACTCGAGATACAACCGCGCCAAACACACCCGACAGCTCCCAGGAGCGGAGACGCGACACCCGCAGCCACGCACACTGCTTCTGCTCCTATGAGACCCAGCACCCCCACGTCACAACCCCAAGACAAAACCACTCCTCGTCCGAAGCCTCTCAGCCAGGACACACACACGCACGCACGGACACACACACACACAGGCGTGCCCCGGGGACCCCTCGCCGCGGCGGGCAGTGGGGAGCCGGGAGCCCCGCGGAGCGGAGCGCGGCGGATTGCGAGTGCGATCGCCCGCCGCCCCGCTTGCCCATCAATCACCCTACACTGGGCCTACGGCTGCAGGCCCTCACTCTCCATTGGCTGGATGCTGAGAGCAGCCCAGTGAATGACAGCAAAGAAGAGCACACAAGAGGAGTTCCTTCTTCCCCAGCCCCTCCTAGCATCCCCACCCCACCGCAAAAAAAAATCACCGCCTGTGTCGGCCTTATAAAGTGAGCMCTGGGTGCGCACAGGGCACTGGAGGGTGAAAGAGTGGCAAATACCGCCAGGCAGAGCGGGAACGTTTCGTCCCGGGGTTTGTGGCCGTGGACTGGTGCGAAGGTGGATCTTGGCTGCACCCCCTGCCGCAGAATCAAGCTTAGGCCGCGATATCCMCGGGCTGATCCTGAGCGAGGGCTGAAACCGGAGGATCCCTTTCTGGTGGGGCTTCAGCTCCGCCGTGCCTATTTAYTCCGAAAGGCTGCTCTCAATTTCGAAAGTCAGCCCCTTTCAAAAATCCGCGGAGGCGGCTGTCCCATCACCAAACCTCAGAACAGCGACACGGGGACGTTGAGAAGGGCAACCCACAAGTGCCCGGTCCCGTGGAAGGGRTCTGGTGGGACGAGGAGAGGGGCTCCTGGAGCATACCTCCCCCGGGGAACCGGGGCGGTGTTCATTCCTCCCGGACGGTGTCCGGTCCCAGCTGCTCCCCACGGCGCAGCGGCCACCGCGGCGGGGCGAGGGCTGACGGGCACTCGCTGCTGTTGGCCGGCCCCGCCGTCTGCCGCCGCCGTTCCCTCCTGCGCCTGCCCCTGTTTTCGTTTTAAAAAAAAAAAATAATTAAAACTTTAAAACAAAATTAAAATTAAAGCCGCTATTGCAGTTTTTGCAAAACTTGTGGCCATGGYCCGTCGGTGCCTGCTCCGCGCAGTCGGCCCGGGGGCAGAGCCGCCGGTGGGGCGGAGGCGCTGCCGTTTCCTTGGATCCGGCCCCGCGCTGCTGCCGACCGGCGCTGCCCAGCGCGGTCGAATGCTCCCGGCCGCGGTGTCAGGGTTTTGCCCTGTGGTTTGTGTTCTGCAAACCTTGTTCTCCCGCTCCTGGATGGGACCGGCCCTCCAGGCCCCCTCCTCCCTGGCTGGGGCAAAGGCTGCCCTTTATGTCTTCAACGTGCCCGTGGTTTAGTGCCCACGAGGGACCGTGGGGATCCCACAGGACARCCTGCTTTGGGGTATCCCTCATGCAAAACAAATGCGCTGTCACAGCCGCGCCTGTGCACTCAGATACACCTCCTCACTCATCACCAGATACATCATCCCATCCCCATGCTCACACACACACACCCTTGCACACCCTCACAGTTGCAAAGTTGCACACAGGCTCACAAACACTCTCATGAGCTTACAGGCACTCACACTCACAGTCCCACACATTCTCTTGCACACACACACCTACATTTGTGCTCTTATTCAAAYGTGCCCC